GTTTAGTGGAGAGGAGGAAGAGGAAGGTGCAGGCTCAGCATTTCCTCAGGCTTTGAGACACACTGTAACTTTGAAGCTGAGTTATTGAAAAAAAAATCAAATAAATAAATTCTTTATATATATTCATGATGCAAGTGAGGACATTTTGTGTAATTTACAAACAACATGACATGTATGAACATTGTTGTGTTGAATTTGAACTTATTTTAGTATTTTCACAGTTTTTTCTTGACATTTCTCTGAGATTATTCTTGAACAAGAAATCTGATGCAGTGATTGGTCCATGCTGGGGGTTTTGTAACGACGTATTCCAGGATCAGTTTTGCCACACAGCAAAGTGTCATAAATCAGCTCCAAGACTGACACTTAAGATTTACTCTTACTTAAAGTGAGACTGAGATGCTTGATAACTGTCTTTTAGGCTCAGTTTTTAGCTAAGAATTATTTTTATAGCATTCTTAAGAGTAATTTTAAGAAGTTTGATAAATGCAAGCCCAGTTTTACAATGAACATTGTATGTGGACGTGAAAAAATGGGAGAAAGTTGCTTGAAGACTGCTTGAATWTTTTTGTCAAAATAATATATGTTAAAATTGCTTGTCATACCCCAGAATGGCTCATCGTGTGACCTTGCTCCTGCTTGTTGACAGAGCGCCTTCATTAGGGTGTCTCCAGTACTACCAACTGGATTGTCAGAACCGGACAATTTGAGTTTCGGATAGCTTTGGGCCTACTTGCATTTAAGAAGTCTAAATAATTTCCCTTCACAGACAGAAACAGCTCACAAGAAKTCAAAATGATCACCAGACATATCTGTGGAAGGTTTTGTTGCAAAGATCACATGATTAGGGCACAGGAGGCGCTTTAATAGAAAATTGTAATTTACATTTTTTGCAGCTGCTTGTGAGCAAACATATTCTCAATTRAAAATAGTTTAAATTACAAAAATAAATAAATAAAATGTTTGCTTTAAAATTAAAATGTGAACAACAAATAGCTTTGCTTTCCCAATAATTGTATGGCTGGACATTTCTCTGTTGCGTTAACGCCTAAAACATGTCATCCACTTTGACAGTACTGCGTTTATCATTATGGCCGTGCATATTACCATACCTAAAAAATGTTCTAACACAGTTTGCATGCAAGAACAGTTGACTAGTTTAGTTCATAAACAAGGATGTTCACAGACCGTTAAAACAACCCAATGGCACAGTCCATTATATTAAATTCTACATCAATTTGTGTTTGTGTCTGTGTGTGAATGTCCTTCATCTCTAAATTGTAAGCAATGATATAACACAGAGGATAAATGTTAAGATATGCTTTGAGATTTTTGCAAATGATGTGAATCCACGTTTCGGGCTGAAAAGCAGCCTTATTTACAGATTGGACACAAGAAAGAGAACGGAAACAACTGTACTGCGAAATCGTMTCATTTTTATTTTCAATTTTTTTCTTCATTTTTAGGTTGATTTTTTTAAGATGTCCGAAACATTTGTGGTGGCTTTGTTGCTGCTATATAGCCTCTAAAAGACCTTAAATAACCAAAGTGCTAGAATAGTTACATTTCAATGGCTTCAAATGTTAGTAAGAATTGTACATCAAAAAGTCTGTTCAGGTGAAAACACATAAACAAAATTTGACAAAAATTGAGMTTTCAACCATATCAAAAGATTTTCTCCCCTCAGATTGACATAGTAGCAGAGGGGGGAGGGAGGGAGAAGGGGAAAGAATGATATTGTACCCTACCTACTTCATTTTAATCCCCCTTACACCCACCCAAAACAACAACAAAAAACAAGTTACATAGTTTAATGTCCACAGCATAGACACCAGCGTACTGAGGCATTGCATCAGTAAAAACACCACACCTGAACTATGGGCCTCTAATGAAAACCAATACAAAATAAAGCCCTAYTGTAAAGTAAAATAATTTTCAGTGAGCTAGTAAAAACATTTCTGTTTGACACTGCATATACAGACTCTCAAGCCTAAAAGAGATCACACAGTTTCAGAGTTAAACACAATTTATTTAATGGTTAAATTATTGGTTTTTGACCATCCAGTGTTTTTGTCATACATTATGCTATTCAGAGCTACAATCAAACAATGTTTTTGTGACCTTTCTGTGAGTATATTTAAAAGTAAGGAAGTACTTCTTCAAAAAAAAAAAAAGAAAAACATTCTAAGAAAAATGCCCCAATCTTCTTTATAATACCACAGCAGCCATGAGAAAACCCAAGTGACACACTGCTAAAATGATTACAAACAGTCTWACAGTGTAAAGATGCCTACACCAGTCAATACACACAGTACACAGTTTTCCAGAGAGCCAGCCTACAAGCATTTACATTCAGATCACTCATCCATAGCAGAAGCTGCCCTCCAGTTTTTTTATTTTTATTTTACACAGATGGACAAGACATCACATCCTCAAGTAGCTATAGATCATTTTCGTTTCCATCTTAACTCCCAGCATAAAAAAGAATTAATGGCATCCCTTTTTTTTAGTTAAGAATATAAAACTGGTGATAAATGCCAGGGCTAAACGTGTACAGAGATAAAGGGTTTTATTTGTCACTCAAATACAGTGTTTGCAAACTTGTAAAAATTGTACCTAAAATAATTGTGACCAGCATGCATGAAAATATGAATAACTCTGAAAGGCTGCTTTTTTAAAATCTTTTTTCAGGATTTATTTCAATTCCCAACTTTGGGAACAGAAATTATTTTCTGGAAATTTCCTCTATTAAAATCAAATCACCCCCCTCCCCCAACCCATGTACAAACAGTATACCTGTTCTAATAATTAATTATACAAGAAGTTGTGAAGTTGCACTCAATTTTTTTTTCTTAAAAGTGAAACCGTTTCTGAAAGCTTATGAAAGCACTTGGAAAAGCTTATTCTCCTCAGTGCGTCCTCACCACTAACTTACCCTTTATTTAAGAATTATACACACTGTTGTTTACAGGAAAAAAAAAYCTTTTGTGTTAGTTTAAGTTTCAAAAAGAAAAGAAAAAATAAATTCCAAAATAGTTCACATCCTGTCAACTGTGGGTCTGAGAAAAACCTATAAGGCGAGTGTTGAAGTTGGGTCAGAAGTGTTCCATTCATTTATTGTTTTCTTTTGGGGGTGGGTCTTTTCGTGTTCTTTCTTTTTATGCCCCTCGTGTGCATTGAGCTCTTGTGCCATCTTTGGTCACAGTTGCGCCAGTTTGGAGTCTTTGCTGTGTTCACAACGAARGGTGCTCCTCAGAAAGCTCTCGCTCCGTCAGTGGACCCATGGCACACTTTGTTTCACACTAAAACAGGAAGCAGAATCACTGTCCACTGGTCCACCGTGGTCAGAGAGCYAGAACCCTCTCGCTCTTTTGATTGACCAGGAGTGAGTTTTTTTGTTTGTTTGTTTTTTCATGCTCATGCGTAAATCAGAAGTGTTGACTCATCTCAGGTTGAAAAAAAAACATTTGTTTGCAGCAGAAAGTTGCAGACTGGAACCCCGCAGCCCGTTTGAACACCTGTTCTCAGGACATGTCTAACTTGGTTCCTGTAGACCTGTAAGACACAAAACATTAGACATTTCAYAACATCTACTGGAAATTTGGTTTATCAAATGTAACTGACAGGACTTTTTTTTCCAAACAAATTCACAAATTGGATATTGCGGGGTTGCGTTGGTTGACGTGACTCTACAATGTCYCYTGGACATCAGAGGCAGTTCCCCTGGATTGGCAGACCGGGGTGGTGGTCCCCCATTTAAAAAGGAGGACCCCAGAGTGTGATCCAACTATAGGGGGATCACACTTCTAAGCCTCCCTGGTAAGGTCTTTTCAGCGGTCCTGGAGAGGATGGTCTGTCAGATAGTCAAATGTCGGATTTAGGAAGAGCAGTGCGGTTTTCGTCCTGGTCGTGAAACAGCGGACCAGCTCTACACCCTCAGCAGGATCCTGGAGGGTGCATGGGAGTTCGCCCAACCAGRCCACATGTGTTTTGTGAACTTGGAGAAGGCATTCGACCGTGTCCCTTGGGGGCTCCTGTGGGGGGTACTCCGGGAGTATGGGGTACCAGGCCCATACTCCCGGAGTACCCCATACTCCCGGAGTATGGGGTACCAGGCCCATTGATACAGGCTGTTAGGTCCCTGTACGACAGGTGCCAGAGCTTGGTCTGCATTGCTGGTAGTAAGTCAGACTCGTTTCCAGTGAGAGTTGGACTCTTCCAAGGTTGCCCTTTGTCACCGATTCTGTTCATAACTTTCATGGACAGAATTTCTAGGCGCAGCCAAGGTGTTGAGGGGATCCTATTTGGCGATCTTAGGATCACATCTCTACTTTTTGCGGATGCTGTGGTCCTATTGGCTTCATCAGATCGTGATATCCAGCTCTCACTGGAGCGGTTCACAGCCAYGTGTGAAGCGGCTGGGATGAGGATCAGTGCCTCCAAACTGAGACCATGGTCTTGAGCTGGAAAAGGGTAGGTGCCTTCTCTGGGTCGGGGAGGAGGGAAGAATGGAGCAAGAGATCGACAAGCAGATTGGTGCTGCGTCAGCAGTGATGCGGGTGCTGAACCGGTCTGGCAATAAATTTTATACCGGGCACCTGATTGTCAGCACCTGTGGGTACCAGAAGATTTATTGCCCAAAAGCATTGTTACAACAAAGAAATAACACCAAARACAAATTTCCTTACTTTTCGTGCTGTTTATTTCTGGACATCTYAACCCACTTCTTGTCAAAAATTTTCTCTTCCTTTCAATGACACAARAACAGAAGCTGATGGTGTGTTGTTATGGTGACCCCTGTTACTATAGAAACTCTTTGGCAGATTTCACAGCGGTGCTGGTTTATTTCTAAGTCAGCTGTGTGCAAATGGAATGATTCACTGCAAACCTAACACAGCAAGCAGTGCAGCAGGGATTAACAGTCTGGCCAGTGGGATAAAACAACGCTTTCAGGATGCTACTGTGCTACTATGCTGCCGTGAGTTGGGGATTTAGAGGACAAAAACAGGTATGGAGTGTACCAGCAGGGTAATATAATGCTGAGGCATGTCCCACTGATCAGCTCGGCTCTCTGTATTTGTTGTCCCATCCATACACACTCAGGTGMCAGAAATGTTGCCTGGTGACAAGCAGGTTCAGACCAGCCAGCCTTTCAGCCACTGTCTTCATCTGTGTGGTTTAGGGAACATTTTGCATRATTTTAGTGTATTTCAGAGATTAACTGATGTGACAAATACCACTCTGAACTACCACTGAGGCTCCTTAGAGTCAAGTTAGTTAAAGCACCTTTAAAAGCAACAGGTTGTTACCAAAGTGCTGAACAACAACAKTAATACARGAYGTTTCAAATCAGTGAGAACAAATGCACTGGAAGGAAATAGGAGAGGTATGACGGGGCAAGTCCATTTAGACAATTGTAGGTCAATGTGAGGATTTTTAAAATCAATTCTGTGGTGCACAGGAAGCCAGCGAAGTACAGACAAAACAGGTGAAATGTGCTAAAATCTGCAGGCTCTTGGAAGAGAAGGGGAAGTTGGAGGCACGAAAGGCACAAAAGAAATGCCTGACAGAGCCAAACATGAAATGCATTGCAATAGTCAAGTTGGGTTTTCTTGGTCAGGTGTAGTCATTGGCTTCAGTTTTGCAATCTGTCTTAACTGAGAGGAGCTTTTCTGCAGACGTCCAAAATGGTCCCCAGATTTGTAACAGACTGTTTAAAATATGGCTCCAGACAATAACTGTGGCAACACCAGGCTCAAGTGTACATACTATAGGTTCATCCAGTTCGATAAGAGATATACAGTCATAGAAATTGTACTTTTTTCTTATTGTAATATGGAGAAATTCCTTTCTTTTTTAACAATACATGTACCCGTATCAAACTGTACAATACAGTGCTTTAGGTTCAATACACACTTGTATCGAAGAATACAGATTTTTTWAAATTAATTAATTAATTTTTTTATGGGCCAAATAAAAGTATGGAGAAATTCCAAGGATTGATAAAACGTAAAAACATCCTCACCTTGCATTTAGTGACAAAAACAGCTACAAATTGTTGTTTGTGTATTACATTATTTAAATGATTATTATTATTATTATTATATAATATTTACATTAAAATCCTTTAAAGTACAATAATTCTTACAATGAAGCCTAGTTGAATAAATTTACAAAAAAAACATATTTCAAAGCTATTTGTTTTTAGTATACAATTGATTTTTTATGCAATCAATYAGGGTTGACAATTTTGTCTTTTAAATTTAAACCGCTTTGCTCGTCTGCGCAGCATAGCTGTTGATTTGTAAAAAGCTTCAGTGTGATGGAAGCRGACAGCTCACAGCTTTTGCCTGACAACAAACTGTTACAGCACACTACTTCCACTGAAACTCAACGTGCAGCATGACGAGTTGTAAATGACTGCACGCATGCATTTTACACTGTAACAACATTACAGGTGAGGGAGGCTCAGTTTACTTTAGTGTCCCAGTAAACCATAAAATGCAAACAGCATGCAAAGCAGGACATCTAACAAGTAGAATTTATTCATAATTAATAAATCTGCACATTTCCTGTTATGGCATGTTAAAATATCTGCTGTAAAAACAAATACTTATATGTAAATACATTAAGATAGAGCAATTGTATGGCTATTGCAAGACAGTACCTGCTGAGAGAAAACCATTCCTATGAGTGGTGCTTTTTATCGCCTGATCTTCTCTCATCCGGCCGCCTGCTTTTCCTGGATGTTTCTCCCTGTTACGAAGCACAAACAGAAATATATTTGAATTAACGCCTTCTTCTTCTATGTTTGCATGAAAAAAAGTTGAAAGTGAAGATGAATCTGAAATTGAAAACTGAAATGCAAATAGAAGAACAACACACCACACTATCAGCAGCGATCATATGGTTCCATTTCATAGTGCTTTTATCCAAAGCAGTTCATGCTTTGACACTTGCAAAGGTTAGTAATTGTTTTATTTAAGGCATAAATTATGAGCGACACCGCACCAGTTCTACCTAGAAGAGGAAGAAGGTTATTATGACAGAGTTAGAAACAACAGAGGTAGACTGTGTTTTTTCCAGGAAAAATCACAGCACTCATTAGTTGTCATGTTGACAGATCAGTAAAACAGTCACGAGCAAAAGAGTCAGCATCTTCTTTTGTTTTCAAACACAATGAGTACGGCAACAAGAACACCATGCGAGGTTGCGCCTGGATGCATTGTTTCCAGAGTTAGTGAAAACTTAACACAAAAAGTAAGAATTTTTGTGTTTGGTAAATTATTTCTTTGTCGTAACCGGACATATACATATATATATAT